TTTGGAAAACACGACTTATTCCGATTTTTGACGTTTTAATGACGTTTTAAAACGTCACCCGTCCCCAAAGGGTTAACTGTTTTTTTTTTACAAAAAAGAAGAATCCAGGAGGGAATAAGTAAGTATTTTTTCCATTGGTACATGGTACTATGACATATTAGGTTTTCGGTCCTGTTTTTTGTAAAGGAACCTACACACAAGCTTCCGTTGTTACGGGGGCAAACACTACTGATTGAGAATTGTTATCTTTCATTTATAAATTATAAGCAGATCACAGCAATGAGAGAAGTACCAGATACTGCACTTGTGAATAACTTTGTATAAGTATATGAAATTAAAGAGATGTACGCGTTAGATTCATTAAACAAGCGTGTTTAAGTACATCATTAAGCAACTAAAAGTAACAGGTCTTTACATACATATTTGAGATTTTCTTTTAAACATACTTTAATTTAATTAATGCCTCTTTAAATAAAACACGTTGTTTTACCGGGGGCATTAATTCTTTTAATATCGAATCGTCTAGTCCATCGCTAAGTAATGTCGCACCATCAATTTTTTCATCTAAAATTAACGAGGAACAAGACTGGCTACTGGGTTGCTTAACCAGAACATGTTTAATTTGTCGAATACTAGTCGACATCATTAGTGTTAGATACAAACGTGCAGGGCTGGTACAGAAACCGATTTTTTAAATTCGACCGGGATCGGGATCAGCCAAAAAGTTCTTTACGAGATCAAGACCGGAATCGACAAAAGTAGAGGAGCGTAGATCTGCTCTGTATTGTTCGCCGATGTCTGAGTTCTTGTATTTCTCCAACATAAAAAGACAGCTGATTTTAGAAAAGTCAGGATTTTTTTTCTGTACCGTTTCTCCCGCAAGAATTTAGCTTAGAAGAACGAGACCGGACTAAACCGTACGGTTACAGGCCAAGACTGGGAGTAGACGAAAATCTTTTACGGGGCAGGGGTGAAACAAAAACCTTGGTTCCGCGCATCTGTAGCCAGAATGCAAGGAAATATAAAGGGAGATATTGTTTGAACTTGTTAGTTGCTGGACGGAAAAAAGTACCGGTACAAATGAGTAACTAAGTGTTTTGTAATAAAAAGATACTGTCGGTGGATTCAGATATAAATAAGTAGTACAATTAAATTATAGCATGCATGCGTTCAGATGCGCCCTCCAAGGAAAAATTCAGTGTTCCACCTGAAGTTTAGTGTCGCATACCTCGAAATTTGTCGATATACGCTTGAAAATTGTTTTGTTGTAGCCATCCAATTACTTGTTCGATAGACCAGATCCATGGATTAGCAAGTGACGTATTAGGATCATCTAAAAACACATGTAACATTATTTACCCTGTATCTAACTCTTGACCTGTTCCAGTGCACTGCTTTTTACCCTTTTCTTTTTTGTCATAATCATGAGCTGTTTTTCTGTCATTGTTCTTTTCTTTATGAGTCTGGTCATTCGTAACACTCAAATCATCCTTAATAGTTTACTTATTTTATTTTGGCATCTGTCAGAATATTTTTCACATACTAATGAAGGATAAAGTGCTTCGTTTGTTGGGTTCTGCTGTTCAGTGTCAGATGCTGCATAATGGCTACGAAACCAAAACAAGAGAAGAGTGTTTTCCATATCTATAATTCATTGTATATTATAGAATGCTTACCTATCACAAAAAAGAGTTTTGTCATCGTGTATATTTGAACCTGATGCTGGATCCAGTTTAATATCGCAGGATTTACATCGAAAACAGTTTTTATGCCAAACCTATTACAAATAATGTACTTCGTAGTTCCAAGAGTAGGCCTATTATTTCACCCATTCTCAAAAAATTTATCATTTTCGATTTCTTTTCTCGTGAAAACCCGTTGCGGTTTGAACGCTTAGTTTAGTTACCTTAAGTTTACTGCTTTTACGTGTCATGGCGATTCTGGGAAGGAAAGAAAAACATCAAGAAAAAGTTATTTTTCTCTTATATTTCGTTTTATAAAAACAATCCTTGATTCTTTCTTTTGAAGACAGAAAAAGTTTACGAACGGATCATGAACAGGCATTTTGTACTTCCCCGTTTCTGATTCTGCGCGGGTACGAATATACCGTAGGCTCTTTCATGTAAATATAGTTCGTTTTATCGAATCACTAAATCTGTCTATTCGTTGAAGGATAATTCTTTTTGTCCTTTTTTCCGGAAAAGATAAATAACTTACAATCCATTTCATTGATCACCTTCGGCGATTTATTCGGAATAAAGCATCCCGAGGATTTATTACCCCTCTTGTATTATCTTTTATAAAGAAGGATGAGGTGGAATGAAGCCCAGATTGTCAAAACAGTCTTTAGTGGAAATGACTATTTGCCAAACCGAAAATGAGGGTATTTCTTTTTTGGAAGTTTCTTATATATGTTCTGCGTCTCAATGGGGTGAGCGACAGCAGAAGAAGCAGGACCTAGATCGTGGAGATCAAATCACCCAAACTCTAAAGCAGAGCTGCAGAGCAACAAACCAATCGTACTGAAAAAATGACAAAACAATGAAAAGGCCCAAAATACATAGAAATTCTCATGTGCCGTTTAAACAGAAACAATATTTGGTACTCTACCACTTATCTTAATAAAACACTTGCTGAACACATATGCTGAAAATCTATATTGATTCTGAATGGCAATGTTTAATTATTGTCGAATGAAGGAACAAAAAGACATGCGCATACAATACACAAGTATCATATTTCTAACCGCTGGAGACAACTCTGTAAATTCGGACGGTTAAACAAACATACTTCGCAACTTAAGGCAATGTCTTTTTAGTTTGAGCAGCTGTTGAGAATTGTTTTGCACACTAGATCTTATTAAAAGCATATATTTTGTCCATCCCAGACGACGTACCGAACAACTTCCAACTTCTTCGAATTAACTTTTGCGAAGCATTGTTACTTAGTTACTTACCTTTTTTCGTCTTTTCAATCTTTCGTTTACTCACGTACATCTGCTAATTGATTTGGCATAGACAAAATGTTAGTCGGCTGACCGAGGTTTTCTCAAGAAATCCCGTCTGTGACACATAATATAGGGTGCGGGCAATTCAAAAATGGAACAGGATTTGATTTTTCGATTTTTTAGCCATACAGAGCGCGTCGAGTTACATAGAGAAAAAGTCAATTGCGTACTTTTAGAACACATTTTTCGATTAGAAGCACTTCAAATACTGGTTTTTCAAAAACGGGGGGGGGGGGGGGGGGGTGGGGGAATGAAGTAAAAGGGGGAGGGGGTTTTGTGTAGTTTTTGTTTTTTTTTTTTTTTTTTTTTTTTTTTTTTT